TAATTACGAACTGATAACGGCGCGAGCAAGCAAGGAACGGGGCCGGAGGGCAGCGAAACAAGATCGCAACGCAGCACAGAACCCGCGGGGCTGCACGTAGCAGGGAGGGACCAACCCAGCCGGAGGGGGACTGGCAATCAAGGACAATGGACCCTGACCGAACCTGCCATCATGGACAATCAAGGGGGATTATTGGGGGGGGCCTAATAGCCCACAGCCGCAACGCGATCACGAGGCGGGAAAAAGCGCGGGAAGGGGGGAATATAACAAGTGATGCAATTGTACCAAGCCAGTCCTGGCTTTGCTTGTGACTACTACGTTACGCATGAGTAAACCTTCTTTGTGAACCACACGTGTCACGAGAGTTTCTCTGTCGAACGGGGCAAATCTCACACTTATCAGCTGCTCTGCGTCTTGGAGGAAGAGGAGAAGGAAATATTTGATACCTTTTTTTACGTCCATCCTGATGGAAGGAACTAGAAAATGATCAACTCCTTTCAAGAACCCAACAAGTAACATAAATATCTTCTATTCTGACCAATATAAGTCATTTTAACTATGCCAACTAATGTTTTCCTCTTCTAGTCTGTCTGAAAGAATGATCTCTTGCTCATATTAGCCAAAGAGTTTTGGGGGGAAAATGGTTTTATTTAAAAATGGTATGTTTAGTCAGCAGCCAACAGAAAGAAAGGTATCATCCAGCACAGGAGAGAGGATAACAGGTATTCCAAAAGGATGGGACAGACAATCCCTATTTATCGACTTTGCTGCAGCTGCTCCAATGCTGCAGAGGCCAAACAAGGGATGGTGGAATCAGATCAGATTTTTTAAATCGGTACCAATTTTAAATTGGTAAAATCATCTCCCAATCTAAGTTATTTTAAATCTTATTCTTATCATTTTCTGTCATATTAGTACAATTACTTCATGCAATTTGGATTATTATTATATTGTTATTAGCATTACGTTATTACGTGAGACATGTCAGACTTCATAAGAAAAAGGAGGTATATTTAATAAATTATATTTTCTTTCCAACAATAAATAATGATGTTCCACATTTCTGCTCCTCAAAGCCTTGAAAACAGCTATTGAAAAAAAGAAGCCGTAATTACGTTTCATGGGAAGAAGCATGCCCATTCCTTCTTAAATCTTGAGACAAAAAGTTGTGACGTAAGCAAAGGAAGAGGTACCTTTTTGTGATCTGATACTTTTGTTATATATTTTGGTAAAGCAGAGTAAAAGAGCAACATTATTCTTCAGATACATTGCACCTCAGTTATCTTGCTCCCCAAGCAACATGGCCAACATCTACTAGAAGTATTGTTTTGCATTCTAAATCAAGGATGGACATACCCATCCACAATTTAAAAGCATATTTTCATCAGTTTTTCAGGATTAGCGTCCACTTTCATGTTTTTATTATCTATTTGTTTTTATTAAACATCTTTCTATGGCACCACAATCAAAGCAACTCTCGGAGACTCACTGCCCCATATCAAAACAGCCCTACAATACCAGGAAGAAAAAAAAGATGGCAACATCAAATCAGGGGAAAATTCTCTGAAACAGCTTGGTCTTCAAGCACTTCCAAAGATCAGCAAAGAGTCAATGCATCTTTTAAAAATTAGCAAATTCATAGCAGACATAAATTCCTTTACCTTTTTAGGTACACATCCAACATTCACCTAAAAAAGAAAAAAGTTAGATATATTTACTATAAATATCACATATCAGCACTTTTAATATAAACAAGTACAGTATTTAGAAAGTATTATGAACATACTGAAACCTTACTAATACAGGATTATTTTTATTTTCTTAATATCAGCAAAATGTGCATCATCTTGATGGATCATGTAGTATACATAATGGATCTTTCAAGAGGGGATTGTATTAGAGGGCTATACACTGGAACCTGCCTTGGATGCCCAATATTAGGGATGGAGGGAACATTTTATTTTGACTGCAACAAGGTCCACAGGAATAAATTGGGTGAACCTGAGAATTCCATTGGGAACAGGGATAATCCTCTAAGAAACCATTTGCATCCTGCATCTCATTAGCCTGAACATTAGTTCTTAATCATGATATAACATTATAATATATTTGAAGCAAATTTCATTATTTAGTTAGGTAGATATTGGGTTGGTCAGTATCTGAATGGGGTCTGCATGAGTACCCTATCTTTCAAGTATCTATGAATAAATAGTTTACATATGATTAAAATTTGCATGAAAAAGTACCTTTTATCTGGCACTTTGAAAACAAAGACTCCCTGAGTGATTTGCCTGCCCCTTGGTTTCTTCTTGAAGGAAATCCTTATTAGTTCTCAATGCAAGCCATTTTATAACCCAGTCAACAAATTCAACTGACACTTCCATTGATTCCATCAGCACTAAATTAAGGGCATTCAGAATTTACTGTCTTTAATGGATGTTTCACTCTAGTTAAATCTTTTCCAAGTTGAACTCCTCCAGATGTTTCAACAGCTGCTTGACTGATTATGTGCCAACAAATTGGCATTGATTCTTAGCAGCCACAAGGATCTTCTCCAGGATGAGCTTCCCCAATCTGGTCCTTCAGGTCTTCCAACAGCATGCCCACTGCTGCTGTAATCAACTCCATCCACCTTGCTAACTGTCCTCTTCTCTTTCCTCCACCTTTCCCAGCATTATGCAGTTTCAACACTACAACTCCCAGAATTCCCAGCAAGCATGGCCAAAGGATGGGAACTACAGGAATTGCAGCCTCACAACTTTTGAAGGGTTATTAAACTGGTGAAGGCTGTTCTATTTAATGACAGAAAACAGTTTAGAGTTAAATTCTTTGAACATATATTCTAAACTTTGCTCATTAGCCCCTTTTGCTGGAAGTTTGTTCATTCATAGTTTGCATCCTTGCATCATTACCAAATCACCAACTTCTTTAATATTGCCTATCCATTCCCTCCAAAATTGATTTGACATTTTTCTTCAACAGACCACAACTTCAATACCAGTCTCTCCAATAAGAGTGCCAAGCAACATCTTAAATGTTTAGAAAGTTAAGCTTTTTAAATTAATAATTTCCTCTTCAGGCACAATCTATTTTCTTTCTATTCAGCATGGTGGAAGACTAATGATTAATTATCTCATAAATTAGAGGTAGCTATCATTGCAATTAGGAAAAAATAAAGTTTAATACTTAGGGACATTCTATTAACACAATAATCTGAAACCCAACAGCTTGTTACAATCAGAAAAGGACCCATGAATTGTTTCCTTTTCCTTTAAAGAAATCCCAGGGACATGGAAGAGATAAATAAGAAATGTAAAATTAAAGACATCCAGTACTTCCTCCTTGAGAAGGGTAAAGCCACAAGGGCCATGTAGAGGAAAGGAAAGAGCAAAGCACTTCCTGAAATATCAGCGGTAAGTGAATTGGCATAAAGTGCTGGATCTACTGAGCCACATTCTGCTTGCCTTCTCTTGGGGGAAAGGAAAAAAAAGCATGTTAGGTGCAAGATGAGCTGATAGGCGTACATAGGCAGGGAGTTGCCGCAACCCAGGGATAACAAAACCCAATTGTTGTATTCACATAACAGGCCAAAACTAAGGCTGGCTTTCCCACAACAAGCTGAATCGCCGACCCATTTTCGCGTGTTGAGCGATCCCAGAGCCTCAAAGCAGTTCATGAAAAGCAAACACCGCCCTGCCCGCGGGTGAAGAAATAAACTTCTGCGCCCTCGGTCTCTTGCGGAACTCACTGCCTGGCATGAGCATGCTCAGGTACGCCCACTCACCAGGTATGCAGGTGAGTCCCCAAGAGGAAGCTCGCACACGCCGGCAGCCCCCTTCCGCTCCCCGCTCTCCCACTCCCACGCCCCGCTCTCGACTCACGCAGGTGCCTCCAAGCCGTCCTCTTTCGACCACAGCAGCCCGGGCTCCCAGCTGCGCGGCGCGCCGGGCACTGGCCAACCCGCCCGAGCCGCCCCCCAGCACCAGGTAGTCGAAGGCGGTGACCGACGAGGAAGAGGCTCGGAGCTGGGCCATGGCGGCGGCACGGCAGGGAGGACAGGAGGGGGCTGGGCCGAACGCAAAACGCGGGCGCGGCAACCGCATCC